CAGTTGTTATTACAGTTCACTGGCTTTAAGTATTCTGAAATTTGCTTACGCTTAATTTTTGTAAAATGAGGAATTGAAAAATTTACAGTTGGAAAGTTATACATTTTCAGTGGATGATATTGTCAGGATAGACTTCTTGTCTTTCATTTATTTATTCCCGTTACAACAAACATATGACATGTTTTTTCTTGGGGAATAGAAAGTAAGTAAAAATAAAAATCCGTTAAACAAGTAAATGTCTTTGTTCTCAATTAGCCTCAAGGAAGTCGTGTGTGTTTATCCTAACTTTAATTGCACACAATTGGGATCTTTCATAAGTGAGGTGGTAGAGTGAGTTTTGACAAATCAAGGCGAGAACTGCTACCAACCTAACCAATCTTTTACTAAAGATGTTGTATTTCTCATGCTACAAACAAAACATATTTAAGGCCATATTAGTTCTAAATCTTGCGTCACATGTGGACATTTAGACATAACTTCTGTTCTTATTTCTGTTTTCAAACATTGTCGGTAATCAAAATCTTATAAAGAATGTGATATTTTATGGGTCTTAGGATAATTTTATAAGAAAACATTTGCTGTTATGGTTTTTACTTCTCAGACATACGAAATTTGAGGTGTCAGTATGAACCACCATGACATAAGAAAATAATGGAAAATCATGAAATAAAACATTCAATTATCCCAATTTGAACTGAAATAGCCTTATTTACACTTACACAGTACATAAGTCGTTTTGGTAAGGTAACATGACTAATGCTGTGCTTCATGCCATTTTTTAATGATATTGAAGTCCAGTGCATGTCAATTATCTAAACTTATTGCAATATGATGATAATTTAGTTTGAGGTGGAGCTATATTTCCTTTTAAATTCCCATTGTGATTTTTCTTAGTTTTCTCTCTGAGTTAGAGTGAAATTCTTAGTGAAGAATTAGTTTTTATTTTTAAGACATGTTGCTGAGGCTTTGCTAAACATTTTAAGATAATCTGATGTTTTCCAAATACTTCCGAGAGTTTTCGAAAACTACCGTGGTTTTCCGAATATTCCCGAGTTAATCCGTTATCTTCCGATCTTAAAAATTAGATGTAATATGAACTTTTTGCCATTTTTGTGAACTTTGACGCAGGCGAGCATGAAATTTTAAAATTTCATCTGGCAACACTGACTGGCTTTAAGTATTTCGAAATTTGCTTACGCTTAATTTTTATAAAATAAAGAATTGAAAAAATTTACAATTGGAAAGTTGAACATTTTCAGTGGATCATATTGTCACGATAGACTTCTTATCTTTCATTTATATATCCCCGTTATATTAAACATATGACATCTTTTTGCTTGGGGAATAGAAAGTAAGTAAAAATAAAAATCCGTTAAACAAGTAAATGTCTTTGTTCTCAATTAGCCTCAAGTAAGTCGTGTGTGTTTATCCTAACTTTAATTGCACGCAGTTGGGATCTTTCATAAGTGAGATGCTAGAGTGAGTTTTGACAAATCAAGGCGAGAACTGCTACTAACCTAACGAATCTTTTACTAAAGATGTTGTATTTCTCATGCTACAAACAAAACATATTGAAGGCCATATAAGCTCTAAATCTTGCGTCACATGTGGACATTTAGAGTTAACTTCTGTTCCTATTTCTGTTTTCAAACATTGTCGGTAATCAAAATCTTATAAAGAATATGATATTTTATGGGTCTTAGGATAATTTTATTCGAAAGCATTTGCGGTTATGGTTTTTACTTCTCAGACATACAAAATTTGCTGTGTCAGTATGAACCACCATGACATAAGAAAATAATGGAAAATCATGAAATAAAACTTTCAATTATCCCAATTTGAACTGAAATAGCCTTATTTACACTTACACAGTACATAAGTCGTTTTGGTAAGGTAACATGACTAATGTTGTGCCTTATACCATTTTTTTTAATGATATTGATGTCCAGTGCATGTTAATTATCAAAATCTATTGCAATATGATGATAATTTAGTTTGAGGTGGAGTTATATTTCCCTTTAAATTCTCATTGAGATCGTCGTGATAACCGCATTTGCTTCTATGTACATTTTATATGGTTTGGGGGTTCCTGTGGCTTATGAGTCAGTTATTATCATTGTCAGCGGTCTTCTGTCTTAGCAGCCGCAATGTTTGTTAATTAGGTTATGTTTATCGTTGATTAAAGCCTAACTTCAGGTCAATGCGTAGTTAATCCTTCACTACAAGATTTTTCTTAGTTTTCTCTACGAGCTAGAGGAAAATTTTTTAGTGAAGAATTAGATTTTATTTTTAAGAAATGTTATTGAGGCTCGCTAAACGTTTTGCTCTGATATACTCTCATGTTCTGCTCTTGACTGTGATTTTTAATATCAAACAATGAGAATTTTGCAAAAATATCTATTGGTTATATACTTGACAATAAAAATGTGTTATTTACAGTTTTACATCTGAATATGGGATGGACATTGTTTCATATTTTTGATTTGCTAGTAAATTTGCAGTTAATTTGATTGAGAGTGGCAAATACCGTTCATAGTTGATCCATTTAGTATAACTGACTTCTTTGCTCTCAATTTGAAGGACAGCAGTAATTGTTGCAGAATACAGCAGTTGATTTTTTAATGTTACATATAAATAAATTATTGAGTTTCAAATATATTTGATTTCTGTGGTAAACATGTTAATGAAAATGTATCCAAAATATGAGCATTATATGTTTAACATATTTAAGAAAGATTAACATGACATCAACGGTGAACCAAATGAGTGTAGGGATGTCAACTGACCTAGGGGGTGAGCTTTGGCACCCCTCTGACCAGATTGATCATAAAAAATTGAATGCATAGCAAATTTTTTACCAAAAAAAAGGAAAAGCTTTTTTAATGATTTATCTGTTGTTTTGAAAGTTACCAATTTTAGATTATGTAAACTCTGAGTACGGTATTTTAGTTACCGTATTTAGCCACCTGGGCGTAATTTCTTTACATAGCCCCCATGGGTTTTTACTACCTTTTACTACCGCGTTTGAAATTTGTTATTTTGTAATGATTATTGCCAAAATATAGAACTTCATAACAAAGATAAGCACCAACGTTACCAATATTTTGAGTATAGAAATGAAGTTATGGTAACGTCCAGTTTAAAGCAGCTGCACAACTGATTTATTTGTTATCAAAATTATGCAATATGTAAAATAATTAGTTTGTAATGTTGTCAAACAGCTTTGACCTGTCAGAAAGTTGATTTGTATAGGTTCTCTGTTTGAAAACGGGCATGTTTGTGCATTCTTATTAATTTAATGATTTCAGTGCTTAGAGGGAACAAAATTTGTTCTTTATCATATTTAGATTAAGATAACCGAAAATAGTTGCAAATAACGCTATTTTGAGGAAAATAATGCTTTGCCATTATCTTTTTCTTATTTTCGCAGACTTTAAAACGAAAGGAAATCCGTCAAAATATGAATGACAATCCAATTAATCACGGGAGTAGTACCTTGTTACGTCATGTTATGGCATTTGTTACACAGTTAAGTAATTATGTACCGCGTCCAGAGTTTACTACTGCTGTTCAAAACTTGGGCGACCGAATCAGTGCTGTTCGTGCCAATCTTTGGGACCAATTTGTGATGTTAGTTGGAAAACTTACACGTTTAGAAAGGAGAATTGAAATTTTAGAGCGTAAAGTGAGAGCTAATACCAAGCGTTTGGACGAGGTAGACGTTATGGAAGCACAAAATGAGCGGCGCGAACTTTGATGAAATCATGCAAAGCAATTATTGCTATTTTTCGTAACTACTTGCCAATTTATTATTATTTTTCACTCCCGTAAATGATTTTTATTCTATTCAGTTTTATAGCTTAGTAATTTTTAAAAATGTTCATTGTTTTTTTTTTTGTATCATAAATCCACGATGATAGAATATCCTTGTGAATTAATAATTTAATTGTGTTGATATCATGCTATATTGTATTGTAAATGTAGTTTAACATGCAGCTTTAAGATAGCAAGATCATAAAATGATGTCCATTTATTTGCAATATATATTACTGTAAGTTTTATCTGAAAAACTCCATACATAAATAAAGAGTCTGTAAAGACCTACCGTTTCCATGCTCTGTAAGTACAATTAAATAAATAAAAAAGAAATCTCTAATTAAATGTAGCGTAAGAGAGCCACATCCACCAGTTCCACAATTGCTATTTTGAAAAATTTTATATTTTATTGATTCATGATAACCACAATTATAAATCTGACCTATAAGTACGCTGAACTAGCTAATCGCAGTGCGAGAGTCCTGTGATTGGAAGGGAAATAGAAAAACTTGAACAGTGTGGACTCCTTAAAGAAATCCTTCCAATCCTTAATGCTGAGAAAAAACCTCTTAATTAGTTGCTTGGCATTAGACTTGATTAGAAAATTAAGAATTAGAAATAAACTTTGATAGCAATTTTTTAAACTCGGTAAAACATTTTTTACGTTTAAATACAAAAGAGCTTTTGACACAGATAAGTTGCTCCATTAGAGTTAAAGGGAAATATTCATAGGATACTGATATTGATTGGAACCATCATTTTGTATTGACTCAAGCTGAAGATGATCATGTGATACCTTCTCATGCAAAAAAAGGATGTACTTACAGACTTTAATAAAACGATTTTATGTAATATAGTGTGGAAAAAAAATTTTTGTAACTGATAACGCTGTGAAATCTACGCTCGAACTGACTTGATATCGCGCGTTCTATCTCACGTGACTTCCTAGTGACGTAGAACAATGACGACATAGAGTTTGCTTAATTTCACGTTTATATGAATTTTGCATGGCTTCTTTGTTTTGCAACATTTAGGAAACAGTAAATATTTGAAATTGGATCACGTGCTATTTTATTCGGGACTTCCCCTTAAGCGTTAGGAATTTCCCCCAATTTTTTGTTCGTAGAAAAAAATCGATACCCAAAATTTCACTTCAGTAGCACTTTAAAGAGTCGAGCTTAACACGGCAACTTCAAGCTGTTTGCAACAACGGCTATTTGTACTCCTAAATATCTACGTAAGTATTCAAAATTTTTTAATAATAGTCATGTAACGTTTGCGTAAGCGACGGGATTTTAGTTGAGCGTTATTCCCTCACAACTCATGTTGTATGTTTACATCTAAACTACGTCACAGAAATTTTGTTTCTCCATGTATTGTCGCTATTTAATAGTCATGCTCGTGTTAATTTTTGGTTAATTTTTAACAACAATATAAAGTATGATTTGTAGTATAGTCTTTTTGTAGCCTATAGATATAAATCCGCCCCTGTCAGAAATATCAAACAATTAATTTAACTTTATCTAAACGTTGCATTCCCAAATATAAGTTGAAATTTTAAAGGTGAAGCGCGCATAAATATATTTCAGGTTTTAATACTTTCTTATTTTGATATTGCTTGCTCCCATTATAACATCACTCGAATGTGTTAATCGGTACGTAGTTTGGATGTAGTATTTTCCTTGATTTCAAAAATATGAAATGTGTTCTTTCAAAGAACACTTTTTCTTGTAATGTATAATTATGTAACATTTGTAGTCACATCAGATATAGTGATGAATTGAGTATGAAGAGTAGAAAATCTAATGATATACAATAAGTAAATTGCTAAACGGTACGAGAGTTTGTATTTATGCACTTCATTTACATGAATTAAGCAATCTCAACTGTTTTTGAGTAAAATTACCATAACGATCAACATGTCCTATGTGCCAATCCTCAATCCAAGACGAAGAAGTACTGAAATAGAGACCCTCAGAAATGTGGCGTTGACGTACGTATCACTGATATGTACATTACACTGGATAACGCATTCATGTATAAAATATAGTAAGGGACAGAACAACCGACAAATATATTTAATCCTAAGAAGTTTGTCTTCTTGGCTTCATAATGGCAGAAAATTGCGATGGTACAAAGTCGACCTTCATTGTTTTGAAACAAACTGGAGATTATATGATGCTGCTCCTTTATAAAAAATGTAGAAATATTACAAAATCCTACTACTGCTACCAAAATTTCATCTGTAATGACGTTTATGGAAGATTGCTACAAATTTACTTATTTAACAACACTTTGTTATTCACATCGCTAATATCATAATAATTTCAAATTACGTTTTTATTATATTAGTGAAGAAACAAAACAAATCGACATAGAAAAATAATCAGAAAGACATTTTGATGAACAATAGTAAGTTGAAAACGGTATCATCAAACTCTACGAGATGTACATCATCAAAATATGCGAATTAAAGTACCTCTGTTGTCATTAAGCGAAGCAAAGTTTTCAACCAGTTCCTTTGTGAACAACTTCAATATCGATGAATATGTTGAAGATATGAATACCTTTGTTCTTTCTTTGTTGTATCTTTCTAATTTAAGTATTCATCTTCAAAAAATGCTTAGCACGGTGAAATTGTCCTCGTCACCTTCAACTTTCAAATTTCAATACAACTTGCCATCTTATTTTTCAGTCGTTATAAAGCCAAGAAAAAAGACCTTTAGGGTTAAAACTCTCTGCCTGTTTTCCTCTACATGTGAGAAGAATTTTGCTTTAATCAGAAGTTTGTAAAAGGAATACAAATGCGAAAACTGTGATTTTGTAATACAAAAGTATAGTAAAGTGGGACCGATAGCCCCCATGAAGCCAGTAGCAAATGATCGATCTTCCGGCTTCAATTTTCGCAAAGAATGCGTTATCCAGTCTAATATACATATCACTGGTATGTATCTCAAACTTCCATACATCCTGAAGTGCTCATAGCAGATGTTAGGTCGCTGTCATGCCTCCCTAATGAAAGTGTCGTTTTAGTGTCGTTGAATACGATTTTATACTAACGTAAAGCGAGTGTATGGGTTGAACATAAGTACATCCCTGGTGGGAACATGTATATCGACATCACATATCGGCAAAAAAAACATACGTATAAAATTTGCGATTGCTTAACTTAAACAATTTATAGACAATGATCTTGTGAAGTATTTAGAAGTAGAACGGAAGTCAAGTAGCACTTGCTAGGAATCAGTAGAATTTTAAATCGCGCCTTGCACCGCTGCACAAGCAATCGTAATATATGCTTGTAGTTATAGTTAAGTAACTGTGAAGTTAAGATTTCTTTGTCAAAATGAACGTACATTTGATTAACTAAGGACATGTATAAAGTGTCATGTCGTTGGCATATAACTGTCTCCGATAATGTTATCAATCACGATTTTTTGAATCTTTGAATTGCAATCTTGAGCTGTTTTTAATTTGACTTTTTAAACCATTTCTTTTTATGTACATCAACCCTGATAAAAGGAAATGGTAGATAGGTGAGGTACTCAACAAATGCTTGATGGGCATAAATAAGAAAGCGTCCTTTGATAGTTAATCTTCGCAGTTGTATGAAACTTGTATAAGATCGAGTCACACCATTCGAAGTTTTCTGACTTAGGGAAGTATTTACATTTACAATACGAGTTAAGAAAATATTGGCTCGTAGATTTTATTGAAATTTCTGATCTGTTTGTATATTTGAACCAATGGGTTAACATACAACAGATCCACACAGCTGGTTTCAAATTCACGAGATGCACTCGTGTTTTATCGGATTTCATCACAATATGGTTCTTTCACTTTCATTATGTGTTATTGCCCAAGAAGTCGACTCATATTTCATAGTCTCCAGCCCTTTTGCATCATAATTTTGATGCGAAATAATCTTGCGTAGCACCCTTGGCATTTGTTTATTGTTTAGATAATGATAAATTTCTAAGGAAATGAAATGATTAATTTCAATTTTAGTTTGTGAATTTATATCCGCTATTCCTGGTGTCCATTTCTTTAGCAATTTAGTTGCATTGCGATGTGGTTTTGTAAGTATGGCGATGTTAAAATCTTGATTTACTTTACATAAATTGGACAATAGTTGGTCTTCATTTTCATTATTTTGATCAAAATTCCACTCTTTACATTCATGTCTTTGAATGTAAATTGAAACAGTCAATTATGGAAGTTTCGTATTTTCATTATTTAAATTAATACTTTTTATAAATAGTGAGTGCACAACCGACGATTCAACTTGCCTGCATATTATAAGCACTTAATTTTATTTTTAGAAGTATCATTCTCAGGACAATTGTGAATTAGGCTTCAAGGGTAAAATAGACGTTTCTTTGAGTATCGGCTATCGAAGTATTTGGATTTTGTTTTGTGTTTCATTTATGAAAGCTCATAATATTTTACTTTAAGAAATGAATTCGTTGCTCGGATGTTTTGATTACTTGACTGTTCGTTCCATCAATTAGGAGAGCCCCCGCTCTCTCTCTCCCAGAGTATGGCATTTGCTTTATGATTGTAGACATGTTTTAAATACTTTTGGTAAGAATTAATCTTGATACTATATCTTATTTCCATTCATTGATTTTCTCAAAATTTTTTTTTTATTTTCATGTCATTTTCATCAAGCAATTAGAGCAATTTTGTATCAGTTAGATAAATGCTAGTTAACTAGATGATAAGGGATTAATGGTTTATTTTAAACTAGATAAAATTGATTCTAGTCAACAATGGTAGGGACCAAGATTCGCGATGAAGATAGGAAAAATATCCACTCTAAGTATATATTTACTTACTGTGATGATCTTCTTGTCAATCCAATACAAACGTCTTGTGAACATTCATTTTGTCAATCTTGTATCGAGATTCTTCTTGGGTAAGGAAATTTTTGTCTAATCTTATGTTTGGAAGTAGTGTCTAGATAACATTGCAAATTAATAAAGTAAATGGTTTGAACCCGGGAGAACCCTTTTGACTCTGAAGATGACTACCGCTAAGGTTGTCGAAACGTCAGTCAACAACATCAAAAACAGTCCTTCTCAGGACTTTATTAACCTGGACGATCATCATTTACAAACATATTGCAAATTAAATTGGCCAATCAGGTGTACAGTAATAGATTATGTGTGCTTTCATTTGTCTCCTTGTGTCTTCATATAATCCAACTTTTTTTCATTATCTAGACATTATCTAGATCCCATTGTTGTGCCTACGTTAAAAATGTCGATCATTTTTTACTTCAATGATGCTTTTCAAATAAATCCCTATAAACCGATATTTTTGTAGCTCTATATTTGTTTTTCATGAAGTTGTTCAAGCAAAATTAATCCCCTAAAAATTGTAACAAGTTTTCATATTTGATCAATCTGCAGACGTCCTAATCCAAAATGTACTGAAGATGAAGAACATTTGAACAGAAACAATGTAAGTGAAATGTTTCAATGGAATAGGACAAAGTTTTGATAAAAACTGTTCCACATTGCTCTTATCAGTCGGCTTCAAGTTGTTTGAAAAGAAAAACTTCATTGAATTCATGAGCGCGATAGAAACCTATGCACGTTCAACATCCGTTTCGTTTACTAAAATACAGTTAAATTAAAAAAGTTTGGATTTCTATGAACTTATACAGATATTTCCAAATGATGACATAAAGCAGGAGTTGAATTGTATTGTTTTACATTGTCCCAATGAAAAGTGCAAATGGCTTGGCCCCTATCAAGAATTGAAGGTAAGTTGCGCTGAGAAATTTTCAAAAAAGTAATGTTTTCTATCTTTTCTATTTTTAGTGTCTTTTTCTAGTTAACGAGAATGTGTTTGTCATGTGCGTCTTCATTATAAATTTTACTGCTATTTAATTTCTTTTGGAACGTAAAGGGTCACATAGGAAGTACATGCAAATATGCCCCCGTGGTCTGTCCATATTGCAAAGACAGAATTCGAAGAAAGGATATTGAAGACCACCTGAACAAGTTTTGCCGCAAAATTCACGTGAGAATATTTAGACTAATTTATGAAAAGTTCAACCTCAACTATCGATCTGGCAACGTTATAGGAAGGTTAAAAATGAAGTGGGATAATAATAAACTTCCCTGTATGGTTTGCTTTTAGCATTAGTTAGTTACCTCGGGGATATCTTTTCTTTTTATTTTTTTAAAACAAAAAATGATAATTGTTGAGTATAGACATGATGTAATGGTACGTGTAAGATATGAAATTGTTAAAAGTTACTAACTTACAAGAAAAAAAGAAAAATATGTTAAAAATGATGGGGTTATAATTCTGCATCGTAATTCTACATTAAATAAACTTGCACTTGCAATTTTTTATTTGAAGACGAGTATCAGAGTTGAACAATATCAACATCTAGATATTCTGAACACCAATGTAGGTGCAAGTAACGGTATTGAATGATACAGTTGTATCGTTTACTAAAATACAGTTAAATTAAAAAAAGTTTGGATTTCTATGAACTTATACAGATATTTCCAAATGATGACATAAAGCAGGAGTTGAATTGTATTGTTTTACATTGTCCCAATGAAAAGTGCAAATGGCTTGGCCCCTATCAAGAATTGAAGGTAAATTGCGCTGAGAAATTTTCAAAAAAGTACTGTTTTCTATCTTTTCTATCTTTAGTGTCCTTTTCTAGTTAACGAGAATGTGTTTGTCATGTGCGTCTTCATTATAAATTTTACTGCTATTTAATTTCTTTTGGAACGTAAAGGGTCACATAGGAAGTACATGCAAATATGCCCCCATGGTCTGTGCATATTGCAAAGATAGAATTCGAAGAAAGGATATTGAAGACCACCTGAACAAGTTTTGCCGCAAAATTCACGTGAGAATATTTAGACTAATTTATGAAAAGTTCAACCTCAACTATCGATCTGGCAACGTTATAGGAAGGTTAAAAATGAAGTGGGATAATAATAAACTTCCCTGTATGGTTTGCTTTTAGCATTAGTTAGTTACCTCGGTGATATCTTTTCTTTTTATTTTTTTAAAACAAAAAATGATAATTGTTGAGTATAGACATGATGTAATGGTACGTGTAAGATATGAAATTGTTAAAAGTTACTAACTTACAAGAAAAAAAGAAAAATATGTTAAAAATGATGGGGTTATAATTCTGCATCGTAACTCTACATTAAATAAACTTGCACTTGCAATTTTTTATATGAAGACGAGTATCAGAGTTGAACAATATCAACATCTAGATATTCTGAACACCAATGTAGGTGCAAGTAACGGTATTGAAAGATACAGTTGTATTGTTTACTGATGTCATAAAGGTCGTATCACTCAGCACAATCGTCTGTTCAAAGAAATGCAATTTTTTGTCTTAATTTCGCAAGTTAAGCGATGTCACTAGATGATAAAGCTTTCAAAGAGGTTTGAAATAATCAGTTAAAAGCATGTTTATTTTGTTGATTTGGAAACAGACCTTATCCTTGAGACACGAAATTTTTCGTAAAATCCAACTGTAGTTAGAATATATTTGCTAATGAACAATGCTTATCGATGATAAATAATTTCCTAAATACTTTCCTTAAAAAATATTCCTTCTTTATCTTTGTCTTTCACAGACTTCAAAAGAAAAAGATGCTCCAGAACATATGAATGACAGGATGGAGAGCCTTGAGGGTCGAGGTAATAGCAATAGTGAACTGTGAATGCGCCCAGTTGTCCGTAGAAGTTTCCTTGATTGCGATAAATTTGCAATTTTGGAGAAACGAGGGAGAATTTAGCCACCATAGAACGGTTTTGCAAGTGTTTAGATTAGATTGACAAATCAGTTAATGGTCAAAAAAGGCCTTTTTAAATAGAATAAAGTACAAGCATCTAATACACATATGTTTTATAATTCCAAAATGATGATGTTAATGATGATGTTAATGATGAAGGAAATCGTGATTACTTTATTGATGCTTTTCATTTAGATTCCCAAAGATCCTCATTTTAGCAACCAAAGTCAGATATATAGATTGCTTCTCGATCACCATTGGGAAGTTCATCTTCATGCCATTGGAAAGTTTAACATATTGTCAGTATATTAAAGATGACCCACTGTTTATTAAGGTGATTGATGATTGAAAAGGTTGGAAATTGTTTTTTTTCCACACTTTGTGCTGTATGCATTGTCGTCAGTCGAACGTTAGTTGGCGGCATGGTGACAATATTCATATATTCTGTCATTGCATGGTTAATTTCTTTTGAAAATGATTTCACTTTAAAATGAAATCAGCCTGGCTTAACAGAATATGTGAAATATCCCCTTTTATATAATGTTCGATTGACGCCAGTGGCTGTATAGTGCATGGTATTTGAGGTGAAAAAATTGCGACTTTGTGAAGAGTAATTCTGTTTTTTAGTCCTGGGTCAAACGTCGAATTTACATGGACCAAACACATTTAAAACAAAGATAATAAGGAAGTTTGTCTCATTTTCTTTTGTTTTTGATGCGTTTGGTGCATGTAAAGTTTCACGTTTAAAACAGACTTAAGTAATTGAAATACTGAGTTCTGTGCGTGAGCTTGAAGTGGCTGTGTAAATGTACATTGTGGTGATTATAAGCTTGTGATGTTTCCAAATGGAAATTGATGTTTTTTCTTAAACTGCAATACATATGATGAGTGTGTGTGTGTTTGTATTAAATGCCTGCGAAGTTTGGTTAAATGATGTAGGTAGCTACGATATTTATCTTATTTTCTTGGTGTTTTCTTCATTATTCTTGTTTTATGAAAGTACTACTCAGGTAAACAGTGCTTGAAATTACCTATGGTATGTTTGTCGACTGTAACAGTGTGGCATCATTGCTGTTGTTAGGTGATGATGGTTTGTTCTTTGTACATAATTCACGTTTAAAATGCCTGCAAAGACATTTAGAGTGCATTATGGCATTATTCGATGATTAGAATGATTTCTCTTTATAGTGACAGATTTGTGGAGTAAGAAATTTTCTTGTTGAATAAGCAAGTATATATATCAAATTTTGTTAAGGCTTCAAAATGTTTTTAAGGATAGTTAAATTCAATACCATTCGGGTAAATTGATTAATGCTAGCAATTTTTTTCAACGAACGATATTTTTTGGGACTGCACCATTAAAGTAGTTATTTTTCTTCAATTTTAAAATATTCTTGTAACTTAATATATCCTTTTTGTTGAATATATCTTTTGTGTTGAATCAATAAAAGCATACCAAGTAATTCTGTTTGTATTTTTTTATTGATGAATATTTGAGTTACATGATACAATTAAATGAACATGAAATGATTTTGCTATGATCAAGGCCTTACCCAGACACTGTACAAATGATCCGTGATCTAAGCCATTCCACCAAACGCAAAAAGTTACTTTTCCATATTAGAAACAGTGAAGTAAAAATTCTGAACACAATTTTTCATGTAAGTTATATATGTTTGTCTATCAAAAGATAAATTGACTCTCAAAATGGAAAAATATTTAAATTTTTCACGAAAAGCTCATGTTTGACATTTGAGCATTGTATTTTTTTCAATAAAGCTTGAAAATATGAAGAATAATATGACCATTTTATATCACTAAATGGAATGTATAATTATCCATATAATTCTCTTCATAGCGGAGTGAAACTCACTGCCAACGCATTAAGGATAAACACTAATGGCAAATAGCCTTAGAAGCTCACATGTAATATATTCACAGGAAGACAATCTTTCAGAGTATGTTTAGTTTAAATTTTACGCACGTTTTTAAAAATCGACCGAAAATCAAGGCTAAAGTAAGAAAAACGACTCTGTTGCTTAAAAATTTGCAAAGAAATTCAAAGATGAAAAATTCTTATAAACTTATTGAACTTAACACCCAATTACAACATTTTCATACTCTAACTTTCCCCGGATAGGCTATGGCTCTGAAGACTTTACCACGAAGGCTGTATTATTCCCTAACATGACAGCCCACGCACACAACCTGTATATGAAAAGGTGGTCTAGAACGTACATAGCTTGCCACTATTTGCTAGCTCTTATCATAAATCTTCCCGAAGTTTGAATATGCATTATGCAAATATAAATCGTTTCTGTTTGGTTTATCTAATCTATTAACGACTGGGACAATGGAAGTTTTACGCTTTAATATTAACTAACATCTTAAGAAATGCTGCAATTTTAATTGTCTTATTATACCTTGCTTATGCTCAAGGAAAAACCTCAAAAAAGAAATTATTGGATGTTGATAAAGAGCTATTGTGTTATGCAAATTTAAAGATTATTTTCGAGTTGTTGCGTCAAATCACTTTAAATATCACTATTAGTTACGATCACCATTTGCATTTAACCGCAAAAGTGCCACGTGTTTTGAATCATAGTGCACGCCTTATTCTTATGAAGTATGAATAGCATAGATGGTGTGCTGTTACTCTCTTGGGAGTGAGAGAACAATGGAATTTTTGCCACCATCTGCATTATATATAAGGAAAAATGGAAAATGCTGTGATAAAATCATCCAACATGGCGGCCATGACGCAGATTGCACAAGAATAGAACATAAACAGCAAGAAGAGCAAATTCAACGCTAGGAGAGGCGCTGTGACATATTCTTGACGTGAAACCATTTTCATTAGATTTATCAAACAATGTTGAACGCCCTCGTCGTCTGGTGCCAACAATAACCAATGATGAAATATTCTTTTGTATCATACCACTAACATGGCTGTTTGCAAGTCAAGAATATTGTATATTACTCAGACTAGTTACCATAGGAGGATTTGAATTTTGAGAGGCATTTTTGATAGTTTTATAAAAGAGATCATGTATAAGGGACAAAAGGTAAATGTCTCATCGGTTTATATGGGAGCATGCACAAACAGAAAAGATGTGCATATGTGCTAGTTGTACACATTTTGTACAAATCGAAAACCACTGAAGCCAGTGGTAGATCTAAAAATCAGAAAAACATCTCAAATTGGCGAAGAAATTAATTAAGGTAAGGATAGTTTAATCAGTGTGTCTATGTTTCAAACACGAATTCGTGATAATTCTACACTCTATATGTCCACATACGCAGATAAAACTGCAACTTAGTAATTGTAAACCCTAAGCATGATATCACATGTCGAAACGTTTAAACTAAATAATGTTTACTTTATACGAAGTGTGTATTGTCTTGCATAAATTGATATTGTAAATATGTAGGGAACCCCCGAAAATTCCCTTCCACTAAATCATATAAAAACGTTCGCAACATAAAGCTATGTGCAAAAGTTAATGGACGCAGTAGAGTCAAAGCATGCACTTTTTGATGTATCAAAAATTTAGATGTGATTTGAGATGGTAAAGATATGAATGGTGAGCAAAAAATGATTTAAACAAGTGCGTATTGCAGCATGTGAAAGTAAGGATGCCTTCAGAACTTATCCTTTTGTTTTAATCTTATGAAAACGGGCTGCAGTCTTTAGTGGTGAAATATATTTTTACTAGAACGACTGCTCCTGAAAACTCTAGAGGTTTTTTAAGAGAAAATGCGTTTTGTTTATGAATTATGGTGTTTTCATCAATAGCAATCGAGTAATTCTGCTGATGTGCAAAATCTTAATATTATTTCCGCCTGGAGAATTCGTTTTCATAAACTAATACCTGTAGTTATAAACTTGTTGAGGTTTATTTTCACATTGGTAAAGGAAGAAGTCATTAAATTTGTTTTAATTTAGATGAAAATAAACGAGAAATGAGCAAAAATTTCTTTATGCTTTTTCAAATAGGGCAAGATTGATTAGTGTACCTGCTTTAATTTATATAGCGGATGTATACATTTTAGCGGGGATTTCCCAGCTTTGTACAAGTTTGACAGCCCGATATCGGTCTTAAACTTTCTGATGAAACACAAACGTGATTTTTTGTTTGTTGTTCCTGAAGGCTCAAACATAAAGACGTTGAAATGTTTCCGAACAAAGTTTTAATTATATATTAATTTATGCATTTTAATTATATATGTGTAATATGTTGCTCGTTATTTTACCTAACCGATCAATACAGTTTCAAAATAATAAAAAATTTAGTTTGGGACCTTGGAAAACAAGGTTGCGTCTACTAAATAGTGGTTACTGTTCAATAAAGATCCCTTAAATAGTATTTATATTATGAAATTTTCCGGACAATACCACATAATTGCTTAACAATGTGTAACCTCGTAAGGTTGAACTACAGTTTCTAGTGATGTTGATTGATAATGATTTATTTATAACTGCAGATTGAAGAGATTTGTAGTTATTCAAGATATAAAGATCCGTAATAAAAACCTACAAAAAATCGACACAAAATATATATGTACTTACTGTCACTTACTTCTTTTCAATCCAATGCAAACAATGTGTGGACATTTGTTTTGTAAATCTTGTATCGATATTGTTCTTGGGTAAGGAAATTTTTTTCTAAATGATAAGCAAGAGTTGTATTTTGTTAGAAACTGTTGCGTTCCTTGGAATAGGAACAACAACTTATTTAATTGTTGAAGTTAACTAAAAAACCTATTTAAATGATACATAAGAGTTCATTGAAACACAGGACATGAGACACGGGCGACGACATTGACAAACTCGTATAAGTAAACAATATTGCGTCACATATCTCTATGTGGAGCATTTATCCTGATGTGGTGGCACATATCCCTATGTAGTGTTACATATCCCTATGTGGTGTCATATATCTCTATGTAGTGTCACATATCCCTATGTAAGACATTTATCCTGATGTTGTGTCACATATCACTATGTGGAACATTTATCCTGATGTGGTGTCACATACCCCCATCGGTATCGCATAACCTGATTCATATTCATTGTATTTTCAAAGTTTTTTATTCATTCAATCCGTAGATCTCCAGATCCAAAATGCCCAGAAGATGAAGAAAAATTAATAAAAACTGACGTAAGTGAAAAAATATTCCAATAAAGTTTTGGCAAGAAATTTCATTTAGTACTTAAATTTCAATTTCATTGTTATTTTGCAAAGTTTTGCACAAAAACTTTACTGGGCTTTGTTTCTTTACTCACAAAACATATTTTATATATTTTAATATATTACTAATATATGTTTATGACTTGACGAATTTCTATGAAACCTATCTAGGTTTTCCCGGACAATTTTGCAAAGCGTGAGTTGAAAAGTATTCGTTTGTTTTGTCCCTCTGAACAGTGCAAATGGTTTGGTGCCTACGATGAATTGGAAGTGAGTTTGGACTGCGAAAATTATTATAAAAGTATCCCTTTGGTCCTCATAATGTTTTTTCTTCAGGGTCATTCTCAAGTTTGTGAGCATGCGCTCATCAGCTGTATACACAAACAATGTAACGTTCAGTTACCTCGCTCTCTTCTTGGTCAACATTTGAAGAATGATTGTAAATATCGAAATGTGAAATGTGAATATTGTGGTAAAGATGTCCCGTATGGTTCACTTAAGGTATTTGGAATAATTTAAAAGAACACAGTGAAATGTGATGAATAGCCTAACCAATGGCTCTAAGTAAATAGCAATAACCAAAGCAGAAAATTTCAACCTTATTTTTACAGAAATTAAGAACCAGCTTATTAATTAAGACATTTACTAAATATCTGGATTCAGGATACATGAAGTTCTGATACTCGAACATCATTCTCTCTAAGTAGATGGAGCCAACTCTCTTCAACACTTTGCAAAAAATTGAGCTGTTCACCAACACTTGATGGACAAACTTTTTTGTCCGCCGTTCTAGTTTTAGCCTATCAGATGGGTTAACCCTTCTTTACTATTGTTCAAGAAATTCAACATCTAAATGCTGTTGATTTGTATTGTCTTTTAACATATAGGACCACATAGATAATATATGTGAATATGCTCCTGTGGTTTGCGGATATTGCAATCAAAAGATACCAAGGAATGATATAGAAAAACACGAAAGTACGATTTGTGATGAAGTGCCTACTAAATGTGAATTTTAAGCCATTGGATGTAACCATGATAAAGTAAGTATGTTTAGACTTTCAATTTCATTTCGGCAACCACACAAAGTAGTTACGACAATCTTTAACTACAGGAAGCTACGAATATTTTTATTCAAATAATCGAAGCAAAATTTTGCGAGAAAAGCATAAAAATTGTATTGTTATGATTTATTAATAATACACAAAATTTTTAATACATTTTTGTTAAATGTCCAGTAATTAACAGCTAATCATTACATATATCCTGTGGAAAGTCAACTTTGCTTCAGGTATGCTGCATAAGATGACCAATAATCTGACGCAAGCCTTCAGCCTTTGTTGAAAGAGAACTTGCAAGCCTCATAGAGAATTTCAGAAGCTCTAGGTAGAGGCTGAAAAGTCGGATATACAACTTATAAGAAGAAAACAACAACCACAAGCAGCCCAAGCTTGGAGATTTTATCGTCGAGGTTGAGATTCAAGAAGTGACTGGAAGGAGATTTACAATATGTAAATTGCTGGATGTCAACGAGATCCGAAAGGAGCTGCTGCTTTGTCTCCTTTGTCAACTGAAATTCGTGAAGAAAAATTTTCTTGTGGCTTTTGCAAAGTTATTCAATTGCAACAACACCAGACTCCTCTCTGATGTGCTCACGTTCAAGCACTTGTTTAATAGAAAAAGGAGCAAGAATACTTCAAGTGTCTTCTGCAATTACAAAGCCGTTTGGGAAATTAAAAGAAGTCTTTCTTGAGCTTCAGTGTTTTGCGTTGTTTGCCTGAACTTTGCCCGTTTCATGAGCTAAATTTAAATTCAATTTCAGCACAACGAGTCTTATGGAAGAATAATCTTTGTTTGGTCAGTGATTAAACAAACGTGTCTAGACAGCCTGACAATGTTACGAACTCAGCATAATAGAGAGAGCAATCTGGACTTGGACATGGTGGTGAACACTTTTTAAAAAATTAGTTTTCCCTTTGTGTAGAATTGCTCTCTAAGCATCAACCAAAGAATGACTCCATGAAGTATTATCAGGAACGGATTAAGGGGAGGGCGTTATGGACGTTGGTCAGGGGCCCCACGTGTCAAAACCAGTACAAAAACTTCAAAATACAGACGAAACGTCGAGTGCTTTCATTACATGTCACAATGATGCATTATTACATAGTATGAATGGGACCAAATTTTATGTTTGTTAGTCATCGTAAGAAACGTTTGGCTCATCATTGTAAGAAAACCCTTGTAGAAAAACAACCTTTGTGTAAAACACTTCAGCTAAGCATTTTTAGTAAATACGACATGAGTTATTGCACATATTTTTTTCTTTATAAAAGAAAAAGGATTATTCTTTTTAATAGTTTTCGAGGACAAAATATGTCAGTTGGATCGGGGGTAGCTTTTGGACCACCTAGGGCCCCGTGAAAACTTGATCCGCCCTTGAGTGTTAGGTTACTCATTTCCCATCAATGTTTCCCGTAACACTCTTAAAATAACTACCACCATTATTATTCGTCACTGTAAGGTGGTTTATAGCTTTGTTATCCCAAAAAACAACAAAGTTTCTTATACTAGATTGTTATAGCATGCATGAGCATAATTGATTCAGCTATAAAGACATGCACATTATTATTTCCCAAGCAAACTATGTTCCACGAATTCTCAATCTGTGATTTATAATGAGATATTTAAATTTCATTATAAAAGATTTTCATTGGCAATTCAATTTTCAGGTACCAACTTTCGGTTGTGGTCACAATAACCAAAGTTTAGCATCCAATCGGACTCTTTAGTCCCTCTGCCTTGGAATTTATATCACAACCCTTAAAATATAAGAGTTTTTAACAGAACTATCTGTTTAAAAAAGGTAAATGCCACCATTTTTGCTTTTCTTTCACAGACTTTAAAACGAAAGGACATTCGTCAACATATGAATGGCAATGTAACTGATCATGTTGGCGCCTTGCTACGATATGTTATGGCATTTGTTACACAGTTAAGTAACTACGTACCACGTCCAGAGTTTACTACTGCTGTTCAAAACATGGCTGATCAAGTTACTGCTGTTCGTGCAAATCTCTCAGAAAAATTTGTGATGTTAGTGGGTAAACTTACAGGTCTTGAAAGGAGGATTGAGAGCATCGAGAGTCGTGGTGGTAACGATAGTAACCCTCAGGTGTCCTCAGAGATTTCCTTGTTGCGTGATAGGATCTCGACTCTCGAGCGGGAATCACGAGATAATTCCTCAACTATACTACGATTTTGTGAGAGCTTAGATCAAATTGACGAATCACTCGCGAGAAACACGGTGAAGATTACGTACCTTGAAGCGCAATGTGGCTCGCGCGCACTAGGATCAATTCAGCTTATACACAGCTACAATGGCACATTACTTTGGATAATAGATAACTTCAAGAAAAAGAGACAGGACGCCATTAATGGTATCAAAACATCCTTTACAGTGCACCATTCTACAGTTCTCAATATGGTTACAAGATGTGTGCTAAGATCTATATGAATGGTGATGGTTTTGGAAAAGGAACTCATTTATCTTTGTTCTTTGTTGTCATGAAAGGTAAAATCGTTTTTAGGTTTACTTTTAATTTTTAATGCTTTAAAATTGGCATGTGTATATGTTGCAAGCTTTGTGAGAACAATTTCTCAGCCTGATTCAATCAAGGTATAGATTTTGCTTTTTATCGCGTGAAATGTTAACTCATTTATTTGGATGATGCATTAAGTTCTTAAATTGATACTATGTTTGCAATCATCAAGAAATTTAACAAAGTCATTTCAATCAATTAATAATTTTAGCAATCAATGGAATTTATTGAAAGAATATTTTTTTATGTTAATATAGCTGCTTATTTATGAATGTCAGTTATTTTGTTATTATAACTGAAAACGGTGCCCAATTGCTTAAAGTCGAGATATAGTATAAAGTCAGGATAATGGCAGATTTTTTATACCTTTAATATTGTTATTGTGATCATTATCGTATAAATTGCCTCTGTTTGACTTACACAAATATTAGGGGAATCCCTGTGCATGGCAATAAGTATTCCCCTTGTAGCTCTGTGTGGAAAGAGCATAATGCATACATTTACCAGGAACTTGTGAGCTTAATGTTCCTGTTTTGCTTTTTATGCAAAGTTCTTTTATTTATAGAGGATATTTTGAGTTAAAAGGCTGCTTAATCATTGCGTCAGATATCGCTTTTTTCTGATTTAAGACATACACCTGCTAAGAATAACAAATTTTCCTTGAAATTGTTAAAACATATGTTCCTGTGATGTTTCTGTTTCACTTTTTAAATAAACTTGTCAACATGAATGTGTGGATGTCTTGTGACTTAAAGATTTAGGAAACAGAGAATGTAGTTAGATGTTACGGTTGTGATTTAGCAGTGGCGGATACCCTGTTAAGCAAAATAAATTACACCAGCTCATGCAATAACTAAATTTTTTTCTTTGTAAGTTCATAACCAGTGGCATTGTTATAAAGATAGCTTATTAAAAGATTAGCAGCTATAACTTATTTTGCCTAACCCTTGATTTGCTACTGCCTCAGTTTGAGTGCAACTTACTAAAGCTTGACTGGCGTTAGTCTCTCCATAGTATCAGACGACAATTCTACGTAAGAAATGTAAGAATTTTCCTTTGAGTTCTACTCTCGAGATATCAGTCTTTCAAAATCATCCTAATTATTTAAATACAAACTGCTTTTAAAACCAAAATCTACGTTGTGTATGAAATAACTGCCTTCTTGTGGGCGTACGAATAATTTTAAGCTGCATATGACCGTTAACAAGGTCTGTATCCACGCATGACATACACAAGCCGAATATTTTCCTTTCAATGAAATAAGCTATTGCAAAATGCTCTATCTGTGAGCTTGAAGATATTCAATGACTTTAAGGACTTTTTATATATATATGTGGGACAGGAGAGCAAAGTTTATAGATGCTAGGTGATGGCGTTTTGTTTATATTCAAAATATATTCAGAGCATATTGCGCACTAAAGAATATACATACGCACCAGCAAAGACACCAGCGAAAACGAATTGATTTAGAAAACGAATTGATTTTTGCACCAGCGAAAACGAATTGATTTAGAATGTGAATAAAGCCATCTTGAACGTATACAGTTTTGGTTTCCTGGGTAGAAAACCTTTGGGTATCAACTCTTGAAAATATGGAGCATGGAAGTATTAACATTTAATTTAGTAAGGAATATTTCTAAATGTTCGGAAATGGCGATGAATTTCAACCCATATTTTATATACTGAACAACATCGACAATTTTATGGTCACACAGCAGCAACAGATCTTGAGGTTTTGGCTGAATGCTATCTTTAAAAAGAGAATGCTATCTTTATTGAAAAGAAACATAACTAAATATTCTACTTCCTAGGTGATTACGATGCGCTACAAACATGGCCATTTAGAAAAAAGATCACAATGATGTTAATGGATCAAGGAAATGGTGATCACATGATTGATGCTTTTCATTCGGATCCCCAAAGTTCTTCATTTCAGCGACCAAAATCTGATATGAATATTGCTTCCGGATCACCTCTCTTTATGCCATTGGAAATGTTAAATAATCGACAATACATTAAAGATGATACATTATTCATTAAGCTCATTATTGACTGAAATGGTTACGATAGCTCAAAGAGTTTAGGTTTTTGATCATATTTAATCTTAATTCTTAGCTAGACCTCAATTTACATTCAATTAATTTTTTAAAATTTAAAATCCAACTTTTAACTTTTAGGTAGAATGATTTTTAATTTAATTGTTTAGAAATCAATTTCGTGTTTTTATTTGATTAAGATCAACGATAATCGGAATTTGAAGAACATTATATGTATAGACGGTATAAAATTATAGTGGGACAACCAGTTTTAGATCGTAAAGACCTGGCCAATAAGTAAGTTTATAATTAGAGAAAGTTTGTTGAATTCCACAGGCTAACTAAAAAATACTCACCAATTCATGTTGTGCAACTTCAATTTATTACATAATGTTGAGTTACGCTAGGAATATGTTTAGCTATTTCTTAATACTTTTTATCAGAATTGTTAAACTTTTATTTCATTTGATACTTTTTAACTTATTGATGTTAATAATAATTAAATAAACTTTCTTATCATAAACCATTGAACTAAATAGATGGAAGGTTACGTCAGTCAATATTTTGAAGCCTGTAGTTCCCAGTCTTTCCACGCATTTTTAAACACACGCCCGATAGACAAAAGCGTAAAATAACTTGTACAAACTACGAATACATAAAATCTTTTTTCGCTTAATTTGGCAAACAAAACTTTCACAAATGAGGCTTAACACCAAGTATACACAATTTTTTGACAAATACATTTTTGTAAAGGAGGCCATAGCCAACCATAACTAGAAGGTATTTTGTTTGGTATGTCTGCAGCGAATGTGTCAAAAACTAAAGCGCTTTTGTTCCAAAGTAGCACAAAAGTTTTGTAAATGTATTTCACCTAAAACAATCATTATTAATGTTTTTCCGTGGACGTAAATATTTATAGAAAGACACAATTTTATTTCAAACTTACATGAGAGTTGGTTTTAAAGATAAATTAGATAAGACATACAAATACTCGTTACATCTTCCCAAAAAAAAGGCTTCTGTAAATATGTGTACGTACAAATGATTCATGCAAAAACATGTATATTATTGAATACATCCAGTTGAATCCTTTAAAATAAACAAGCACTTGCTGCAATGTTTCAGAGAACTACCGAATAATGTCGCTCACCTACGATGGCTGGTGCCCACAATAGCATTAATAAAATATTTTTTTATATTTGACTACCAACATGGCTGCCATGACGTTACAAGGAATCCACCTAAAGTTGCCTCCCAACTTATCAGTTTGGCGCCATACCTGACTATGTGCCACGTCTGCTTATATGAACAATCAAAATTTACCTCTATAATGGAGACAAGGAAGAATGATATTATCACTTTATCAGCGAGTTGATTAAAGACATAATCCTTTTGACAGCAGAGCAAAGGATTAGTCAACTTAAATGACTTAATCAATACAGAATCCTAGACGCGTAGCTGGGATAATGAGCAATATTTCCTAACTCAAAAATTGCCATCTGAGTAAGAATCAGCACATTGAGTGTTGATTAAAAAGATTTTCGTCAATTCCTGAGTCTCAAGAAATTAAATTATTGTTCATACAATCAGATAGAGTAGAGATTCTAGAAAGTAAAACTATCTTGACGCAGTCTTTGAACAACTCACTATCAAAGTGTGAAGAGAAATAGATTTATCACTAATACATAAGCTATATACATCATGGATCAAAGTTAAGATTTAGATTTATATTACGAGCAAATGATGTATAATAGCGTGGGATTTTTAGATGAATGTGAAGGCATTATCATCATCTTTGTCTTTATTCTTTCACAGACTTTAGAAGGAGGAGAGATCAGATAACATATGAATGACAATCTAATTGATCATGTGAGCCTCTTGTTACGATATGTTATGACATTTGTTACACAGATAAGTAACTACGTACTACGTACACAGTTTACTACTAGGCTGTGTAATAAACTGTGGACGTGTTCAAAATAAGGCTGTTCAAGTTACTGCTGTTCGTGCTAATCTTTCAGAAAACTTTGTGATGTTAGTGGGTAAACTTACAGGTCTTGAAAGGAGAATTGAGAATCATGAGAATCGGGGTGGTAGCAATGATAATAACACTGAGGTTTCCATGATGCACGAGAGAATTGCTATCCTCGAGCGACAAGTGAGGGATAATTCCTCAACTATTCTACGATTTCGCGAGCGTTTTGATCAAATTGGTCAGTCACTGTCGAGAAACACGGTGAGAATTACGGATCTCGAAGCGCAACGTAGTGTGCGTACACAAGAGTCAAATAAAGCCATACACAGCTACAGTAGTGAAACTGTCGAGCCACATTGGAGACAACATTTCTACAAAGAACATCAAAGAGCGTCTGTCTAAGACTTTGAATTTACGGTCTTTCGTGATAACATCAGAAGAAAAATACCGTAATATGCTTGTTAGATTGATGACATGAACACCAAAGATATCTTTTACGAACACACAGCACGGATTTATTGTCACGATACATTGGCTATAAAAGCTGATGTACAAGGAAATGTTGCCCATAATTAGAAAGGTATATTTCAGTTTAGATTACTTTTTAAACATGTATTGCCCGTTGTACGGTTCCAACAGCGACTTCAAAAAAAAGGAGAATGATATTCATTTCTTTCGGTTCCCTCATCGAAAATCAGAAGCACAGCAAAAGAGAAGAAAACTATTGATTGATTTTTGCAAAAGGAGATCATTCGAGCCATTGGCGAACAGCAGAATTTGCTCACTCCATTTTGCAGAGGATGCGTACGAAACAGGGTGTACAAAAAAATTTCTTCATCAAATAAAGTACGAGGAATCATCTATCAATAGATCCTCATCAGACAGGGGCCAGTTTTCTTCAAGATGCCGACACACGTCTATCTTCAACACACTTTATTATTCAACACACGTCAAGCAATTTACTCCTCGAGTTTCCGTTTCGCCTAGCAAAGCCTCCTACTCATCGTATTCAAGCGCTTTTTCGTGGCAACAAAAACATTCGATTGCCTTTTTAGGTACATTAAGTACTCTACCATCTACAGTGGAAGTCTAGGCTTTTGGATAGTTAGGCTATTTGCGATTGAGAGATCTTTGTTTATAATCTTTTTATGGGGTATTTAAAAAAATGGCAAATTTTTTAGCATAAAATTTTTACAAAAATAGCTGTACAATAATATCCAATATTATAACTTTTCATAGATAGCATTAGGAAAATTTACATTGTTGGATCTTTATATTGTTATAAACAAACTATTTTCGTACGTAGATAGATCAATGGGAAACCTTTACTTTAACAGAAGCAGTAGTAGTACTGAAAGGGCTTTTCAGTGAACTATTACAAGTTTAAAAACTAGTTTAAAAATCTAAAAAGTTGTTATTAAAAATGAACAAATTTGTTTTATGGATATTGTTTTCAATACTATAGTTCCACAGATCTATAGCTCTAACTAAAAAGGATCGTTGACTTGTGGATGTTCTACAAAGTTGTTGTTTTATCTTGCCGGATGAGTGAAATCTTGTATTATATTGATGTGTTTGCTCACACATGTTTGTTGTCTTGGAACAAAAATAGGACGTTGCTTCACCGACTATATTTTTATAATTCATGACAGCGTTATTTAATACCAACTTATCAGATACTGAGAGCCATTTAAGGGATTTCAACGTTGGGGTTATATGTTCCAATTTCTTCTTATTGTCCATAATTCTAGGAGCAAAGTTCTGTACTTGCTGTAACTTAGCAACATTTCTCTTATTTGTGTTTGACAACACAGTGGAAATAAACTATAATTTGCTGAAGACTAGTGAGTTGAGAATAACTTCAATGTGTTCTTTATTGAACAAATGGCTAACTCTGCATGGAGATCTGGCATAATGAGTAACTACATGTAGCATTTTACCACATTATTTATATGCTCATCAAAGGTAAGTTCTCGATCCAAAGTTACGCCAAGATCCTTTACTGATTTGGATGGTGTGAGAGACTCCCAGAAACTGAATAGACAGATCATCTGGCAGTTTCTTTAGTTGTTGTCGCGTACCAAATATAATAAACTTTTTCTTTAGCATCCTTTGCGGATTTCCAAGAGGGGCGTACGAAATTAAAGCATACAGAAAAAACTTTGAATCTATTTCAAAAATTACGAGCTTATTTCTCTAATCAATTTCAGGTTTATTCTTAATTATTTAAAATTTGTATTTAATCGAGAAAAGCGATCATATACATTATGTCAGGGGTGGGCAAATTCTCCAGTCGGCGGGCCAGATTTAGGAAAATGAAGCTATTGGTGGGCCGGATTATTACAATAATAATATTCAATATTCGGTGGTCGGATACAGTCGGCGGGCCAGTCAAAATTCCTTCAGGGGCCGGACTCGGCCCCGGGCCGTATGTTGCCCACCCCTGCATTATGTGATATCCTGTAAAAGTCGCATTAGACCAAAATATCAATGTAAAATAATTAAATTTAATTATATGATTTTAAAACTGCGCTAATTTGGATTCTTTGGAGGAAAAAACAGTGATCTTTTGTTATTGAGTGCTCAATTCTTATCGCACATCAAAATGTTTACATTTTCTTCAAGTGAACAACTGCAAAAACGACGCATGATGAACATTAAATTTTCATAGGCTTACTCAGCCAACTCTGTCTCATTGCCAAATAAAAAACGCTTTAGATAGTTAAGCTTGTGTAACACAACTTGTGCCACCGTTAAAAACACCTTACTTGAGGTAGCAACATGTGTTCACAACATCTTTAAAACAAACAGTCGGGATTTTCATACACCCAAAGTAAAAATTACTTCGATGACGGCAGTAACATACACGACATAATTACAACATTAAACACTGATTCGTTTGTCTAATATGTAAGATATCATGCGTGTGCTGTCTATTTTAGAACAATACGTGTATTTAAATACTTTTTTCTTCTTGTTTGCTACTGAAAATCTTGCACACGCTACTGATCGCATTGTGAAATTGGAGCACAAAATTCATGATGGCTTTCAATTTTAAGAAAGAAAATATTCAAATATGCCGTAGTTTACAGTTAATTGAAAACTGACATCCAAAAACTTTACAAAAACACCTGACACTTCAAAACTTTGCAGTTGAAAAAAGAATTGACTCTTA